GCGGACCCGACGCCCGGGACCCGCTTCCGCTCTGCGGGGCGCAGACGCCCCCCCAACCCCGCGCAGGCGCACCCACTCCAGCCCACATCTGAGGGTGCGGCACCTTTTACTCTCACAACGAAAAAGCAAAAATGACAGAATCTTGGAATAAAGAACATTTTCCCCCCAAGGCAGGACAGCTGTAGCAAACTTACCTTGATATTTGTGCCCTGAATCAGTGACGATTTCACCTGGCTCGGGCAGGATTCCAGGAGCTCGCGCTGGCAAATTACTGCCTCAAGGCGCAGTGGCACCGAGCTCGGAAATCGTGCTGGCTGCGACCTCAATTTGATTAGCAGCCTTTTAAGCATTCAATCGACCTAAGTTCATTTTCTTATGTAAACACTAAATAGGGCTCACCAGGGTCCCGCCAAGAGATAAACTGAATCGGAATGTGTTTGTGTGCAAATGCCACTTGTTTTACGCCCACGGCTGACCCCAGGTGCCGCCAAATTACAGGACGCCTCTGCAGGACGCCGCTGCGGGGAGGTCTGCCACATCCCTCTCCACGCCCCCTTCTGGGGGACTCGTTAAACATGCGCCAGCGGCAAAGGTGGGAACTAAGAGAGGAGATGGACGCAGCTCAGGTGTCCTGCGGTGTCCCCCTGGGGTGCCCTGCATGAGCCTCCTGGACCCCAGCCCTAAGGAGCGGCCGCGCTGGGCCTGTGTGCAGGGGGCTGAGGGCCCAGGACGCCCCCTTGGTTAGCAGCCCCGGGAGCACCCCGCTCCGTCGTCCAGGCAACCCAGGGTCATGGGGCGCCTGGCGCTGCCTGGTTTGGGGGAGCTCCCAGACAGACTCGCCGTGCGGGTACAGGCCCGCACCGGCTTCAGTTCAGCGGGTTAATTTACGTCTTTAACAACATATTGCCACGTAACCGAGGGATCGGTGCCCCCCGATGCAATAAAGCTGCGTTCCCGCGGCAGCGTCCCCGTCCCGGTCCCCGTCCCGTGCCACGGCCCCGGGACCCGCGCGGCCCACTTACTGGAGAACTGGATGGAGAAGCCGGACTTGCTGATGAAGAAGTCGCTGTCGAACTGCAGCGTGAGCGAGCGGAAGGTGCTGGGATGTCCTC